TACTTTTTATTCCTATAATCCACTGTTTATTTCCCTACTCTAAATCCTCATTTGTATCAATTAACTTCAGTTTGTTATTCAACACATTTTGAACAGAAATAATTCTGGAATGTTCTACCTACTGTAAAATATATTGACGAATGTACAGGTCAGTAGATGACTTCATCGAAAAGAAAAATTTTTCCCTGAAACCATCTTTTCCTATGAAAGAACATTAATCAATTGATATTAATGGCTTTATCAATAACTGATGCGTTCTGCAAGCCAGGACCTGATGGTTGACCAGAAGAACACTTTTTTCAAATTCTACAATGTTTCATAGACCCTTGGATGACATTAATAAATTACCTGAAGTAATTATTAGTTGGTTTTCAGGTTAAAATAACCGCACACATACTGTCCTCATTCTCTGCATCCGACGTTTCAATTTTCAATATACCAAATAAATTACAACTTTCTAGTCATTAGAACAAGACATATAAGCAAACAATAGTTTTCAGGCTTTAATACAAATAGCTTTATATACAATTAAACAGATCATGGAGATTTGTCGATTGATGTAATAAATGTTTTAAAATAACGATGGTGATAATAACACAAATAATAAAAGTGATAATGTTGACTAAAGCATATGCAATATAGATGATAATTATGATAAGAACCAAGAAAGTAGCATGAAAATGTAGACACTCCGATAATCAAAGTGGGTCAAAAGCTTGTGAAAATAAAAGTTACGCAATACTGAAGGACGAGGTAAGTGGATAAACAAAGTCTAGACAAATACAGTAAGTATATGAAAGGGGTGAAGAATAAGAAAAGAGGTATGAAAAAAACTGGATGATAAAGTTATTAGCCTGGCCCTGGCCAAGAGAGAGATAAGCGATGTACAAATTCCTTCTGGATACAAAGACCAGGATTATTAGCTAGAATTTCCATACCTTACGCTATGTATAAAAGGCGAGTTTAGTCATTGACATCCAACAAATATTGCTTCTTAGGATTCACTGTATCAGTCAAGTTACAATCAATAATTATTAACCAGTTATTTGTTTGTCATCTGGTGATGACCATAAAATGTATAGAAAATCTTGTGCTCTCGAAGTGTGTGCGTGCAATCATTAGTGTATTTTATGAAAATTGCTCACAACAGCCAGTCCGGGACACCATTTCCCTTACTACTTGCTCCAGTAACACCGACCTCAATATCTTGTGCTCCATAGTCCGTTAACACCACCCCACCTAAGGAAGCAGAAGTCCGTGAGGAACTCCATAGCATCATAAGGCACACGACAAAAACAACTTACCTCCTGCTCTTTCTGAATGGGAATTTCAGACTGTAGTCAGGGAACTAACTACATTGTTTGAGAGAGAACAGTAGATTGACAGTGTTCCATCACTCTACAATGAAGCACTTGGGCACACACTTAAAGAGGGTCTACATAATTTATGTGTCAGTCTGCTACCATTAGCGTCGAAAATATTGGCTGATATCATCATTTGTGGGTCCTGCGAAACATGCGAACAGTTGGTCCACGAAGAGTAGACTGGGTTTCATCCAGATCGTGAATGCATTGACCACTCGTTCACTCACCGTCGGATGCTCAAACACTGCTACACGTACTGCAGGTCAACGTTCTTTGCATTTCTCGATATTAAAACTCCCTTCCATTCGTTGGATAGGGCTGTACTCTAAAATTGTCTGTTGGAGGAGAGTGCCTCTGAGAAGTCTGTTAACACATAGAAAACTCCATACTTCAATACCTCAGATAGAGTTATGGTTTACAGCTACCTGTCTTTGTTATTCCAAGCAAATACTAGGGTTCAGCAGGGTTGCCCGACGTCGTCATAGTGAAATGCTTCCCAACTTTGAGTATGCAGATGGTGTAGTTTACTGTGCCACAATAAACAGACTTCTAAAATATCAATCAACCAGCTAGCGATAATTATTGTACCTGCATCGCACCGTCAAAATGCGAAGTAAGAAAGAAACGCACGCAGCTGCCTTGTGCACATCCATCCAGTAGACAATAAGTCACATCCATTGTGTGAGGGCTGGTAATACAATCTGGCTGCCCAAACCTTGTTAGCTAGAGCGGGACTCAAACTCGTGACCTAGTGGTTGGTAGTCATCTCCATAAACCACTGAGCCACAGCTCCTCAAAGTGCAAAGTACTTCAACAAGATTGGCAGGAACTTGTACATGTACTCACCTTCGGTGGTTAACTATCTTGAGTTGTCGAAATGTTTTTCTATCTGGGTAGTTGTGTGGGCATTGTCGCAGGTGCAACTGACAAGATTTCCATCCGTATATTGAAAACCAGGGTGGTAGACGGTAGTCTGGGTCATCTTCGGCAGAGTCATGAAGTTAACCTTGCTTTAAAAGGTCGGGTATATGTCGCGCTAATGCAGGTAGTTCTACTCTAAGCCTGCTAAACCTGGCTGGGCGGAGATGTTCGGACAATCATTGTTTCCGTAAGGCTGCTCGCATCCGATGGAAACAATGAAAAATAATTCTGAGGTGAGGCAGTATGGGCGTGATGGAGATACTCGTTCAATGAATAAGGCCATTGAAGCACCAGCTTGGGTGACTTGGACATATTTGCCGTACGTCGTTCCAGCGGCTCACTGTTCGCTTGCCCTGGGACTGGTTGCAAGGAGCAGGTAGGTGGTTAGTGAGTGAAACGGCACTGCGGAAAAAAGGGTTGTCGTTTTGGACTAGCATCTGTAGGTGCATGACGACTCCTCGGCTAGCGGCCGAGAGGTCCTGGAACTCAGTGTCCTAGGACGATAGCAGAACAAGCCTGGGATCAAAACCAATCATGCAACAGATTCCTTATATTTCTAAAAAGTAGTAGTATACACATCTTCGAATGCGTTTGTGAGACCGCTTCTTGAACAGTTCACTTTTTTTGTCTCGACTGTCACTTCCATTTTATGTGCCTTCTTGGTGTTGCTTTATTATCTTCTGTGGTGCTTCCCTTGGTACCTAAGTTGTACCAAGTTTGTGTCTTAAATAAAAAATCCCCATCTATAATACTGTGCATACCTAATCCCACTAATGATTAAATAACCTCATGTATGAAGTTGGTTAATAAGTTGTTCGTTACCTATTTAGCTGGTTTATTTTGGAGCCTCATCACTGTTTCTCGTTTTGATTTTATTAACGAATTCTGAACAAAGGGCAAAAATTACTTGGACTTTAAAGCTGTTTTTCTTTACAACGGTATTAGTCGAAACAATTTCAACAAACTGAAATTACTCCTTAATCGTCAAAAAAACTAACTTAAGGAAACGTTTTTTACGATTCCATGAAGGGATGATTTTCGACAAAAAACTAGTGAGATGTAGTGATATGAATGATATTGGTGAATAAATTACCTAATATTGTAGACTAAAAAAAATTCAAAACATCCTCGACCGTGCAGTATACCTACTGATTCACAGGACATGTTCACAATAAGAACAAAGTACCTTTTATTTTGATTCTATATATGTAGGTTTCACCAATACAGCTGTGCGACTAAGATATGCTAGGCACAGGTTACTATTCATTCGAGGTTTTCGATAGACAGTTCCAGGGTAGTATTTAAAAGCACGACGAATCATCCTTTGTTCATTTGAAGGAATATGATAAGACACTGCATAGTTATTCAGTGAGAATACAAATGCCAACTAAGATTAATTATTTCACCATAACAATCCAAATGGTAACGGACGCTGACAAAGGATTCACAAAGGATTCAGACAACACCCTCAACATGAAATGACCTTCGTCAATCATATGGAAAGTCACGAGTTGCGACTGACAGACAGACAAACACTATCAATGTAGAACCTCGCACACACGTGTATCGGCTCAATTTGCCACACTTCACAACAAAATACACAGAACAGGTGGATAGAAAAACAATCATATCAAAATAGATAGAGTTGTGTGAGAGAATAAACAATCTGAAGATAACAGTTAGTGCAAATATTCAAGCTTTAGATGTCAGGAAGTGAACACATCTGTGCCACTGTAACCGATTTTCAGCCATGGCACCAGGTCCCCAACCACTGATTCCTATTGTCTCGAGGACCCCAACCAGACAGTATATATCACCCCATATGACTCAGACTAACTGTAAGAGACTCCATCGATTGGTGCTACGTCATGGTTTGGTCATCTTGAATCCTCTTTCAACCTAATCTAACTACCATTAGCATGCTACATCAAGGTAGGCGGTCGCTTGGCACACGCAGTACATAACCAAGCCACCTCAGTCGACTAAGGTTCAGAACCTTACCAATCGACTTGGATACCCTGCTTCGAGAATTGTCAGTATGTATGGCCTAAATCGTTAGGCAATAATCTTCACATACAGAAAATTCGACCAATATTTTGCAAGATATCATTAAAAAAAAACTCACTCGGTTCAGCAGAATCTACAACATTTAGTAAGTAATCCCATCAATAAATAACTTAAAAGTAGTCAGGCACAACTCTTGGTGATTGAAGTGAAATAGAAATCTGGTCAACAGTCGGACCTCATAGCTCAGTTGGTAGAGTATGGGATCAGAAACTCAGTGGTTGATCGTTCGAATCCGGTAGCGGTTCAAATTTTCATTTCACCTTCAATCATCCTCCATTATAAACTTAAAAGTTATTCAAAAACAGACAATAAAATTATAAGCTCAATTTTTATATACATCTTTCAAAATTTACAAACCAGATATATTTATCAAAAGAAAAAGCTGTTTATGTCTTTTTATGCCTGAAGTACAATTGCACTCAGAGAAATCTGAAACGAATATCTCAACAAAATTATTGTATATATTAAAATAACCAGATATAAATATAAATTTGGAATTGACAGAATGTCTCATGACATAATATGATATCAGAAATATCAAAAACAATAACGAGAATAAACTTTAATAGCACATCTATAGACATTATCGAAGCAAAAATAAAATTCCCCAGTGAAAATTCCTGATAATAAATAATGATAACATCCCGGCTAATTCAGATCTTTACAACGAATACATGATAAGTTACAATTTGTATTCATTAAAGATCTTAGCATATTTTCCAATACAAGCAACTCAGTTCGAGTCGAAGGCGACACTTCGACATCCTTTACCAGTTTAATCATAATCTGAAGTCGAGATACAGGAGAAGACGGTAATAAACACGAAGATGACGAAGATACTGAATTATCAAAAAGATGATCAGAAATAAAATGATTATATGGGAAAGCCAACAAGAAAGTGGTGACTAATAAACACAATCTTAGTTCAGGATCAGATAAAACTGTGAAAGGACAAGTGTCAACGGACTGAGCCCATGAATTAGTTGGTGTGATAGCCAGACGAAATGTACCATCAGTAGTTAGCCATGTAAAGACTTCCTGATTCATTTCTGAGATAAAGCCTGATACTATACGACCCAATGATGATCCAACAAGATCACGTAATATAGTATGAGAAAGAAACTTTACACTTGGATCAACCATGTTGCTTGATTGTGTTCCTGATGATGGAATGTTAGTGGTTGAGTGCTGAAGAAGAAACTAGTTGGCTTTATTTGATAAATTTCATCAAAAAGAAGGCTTACAACTTCGTGCCAAAAGTTTGTTGGATTTTCTCTGAACATTTCTGATTCATCAAGTTCATACTTTAACCAGGTGATCCAACGATTCGCCAGTGATTTTAGTTTATAACCAGCTGAATGAGAATCAAGCAATGTAGATGGAGATGAATAAGCCTAAAAATAAGAGAAAATATAAAAACACTTTCAAACAACATAACAAAATAATATTGACAACTGAAAGTTTAAATGTTTAATGAAAAAATAGTATCATATTGGTTTAGCAAATGAAAACCTTTTTGTTACTACTGGCACAAACATTTGCCCACGACGCTTTAAGCAGGATATGAACGAACTCAATTGTATTGCTACAACTGATTGTAAGAGATACCGTTCACATAAACACATTCATAAGATTTAAAAAAAAACTGGCTCGTATTTATCTGTTAGCTGCAATGACCCCCAACCAAGAACAGATACCCTTTCTAACCTTGTTCCGATAAATACTAAGTCATTTAGAGTTCATTATAAATGGTGATCAAATGATACCGGCACGATGAACTTTTCATCTTTTCATGGACTACATACATTCCTAGACCATTTAAGTCATAAAAATCACATCAAAAAAGACCTTTTCATACGAATTTCCTGCATTCAGTCAGGTTCAAACAAACACGTGCTTCTATATCAGATATATGTAACCAGTGGGGATCATACGACAGCTTTCTTATTTCTTCTATCTTCGAATGTATCTTGGAGAATACTTCTCAAATAATCCATTTCTGTTCTTGTTTTTCATTGTCTTTTCCATTTTCAGTTTCTTCTTAATGTTACTTGACTATTTTGTGTGGTGAATCATTCGGTGCCCAAGTTGTACCAATTTTGTGCTAAATTATAATAAACACTTACGTAACTGACAGAGATAAATTCCACCTACACTTAACATCGACATGAAGTCAGTGGTCAGAAGATCAAGAAATGTTTCTACATTCGGAGTGGCATCCGAAAGTGATTACCATTGACAATTATCCGCATGCGAATTCTCGATCCGTCCAATATTCCCAATTTTTCATTTTGTCAAAATGTAGCTGAGGAGATCTCCCTTTCTCCGCCTGACTTCACAAGAATTGACTTTGTCGTTGGAGACACCTCAGTCGACTTAGTGTACACAACCGATATAGCCTTCATCATCCGAAGTAGCTTCAACAGGTGTTGGGCATACCTGAAACACGGCCTACCCTAACGCATCAGGAGGGTTAAGATGAAAGAAAAGTAATGGCAACCAAACTGGAATATGACACTAATCGATGAAGTTTTACTGTTGACCCCGGTTGTGTAAAAAATCATCGATTGTCAGATTGTGGTCCGAATGACAACTGAAAGCAGTGGCTGAAAACTTTCATAATATAACTTAAAATCAGAAGCAATCACGTTTACTGCTACCCAATATTTCGCTAACCCCTTCCCTTTCTATTGTGTAGCTTTCTTCGATTTGTGACGAAATTATTTTCATTTCTTCGCTTTAATTCTTGTTGCCTTTATTTGATGATTTGAGTTTCGGCAACTCAGACTGTTGCGCACCAATGGCAAGCGCCATGTTGATAATGACTGATTGATTAAAAAAAATCTTTCATCTTCTCTGAGCTGCAGTAGGCTAGTCAGTAACAAAATGTCAAAAGATATTATTTATCCTTAAATGATGAAGAATATTTGTAGCTCAGGTGGATGGTCTTGGTTGTATTGTGTTCTCACGACTAAACAACCCAGCTCAGAGAACACAATACAACCAATATTAATCATCCGCATCGTCTTTGATTTCTTAGTGTACCAGTCAGTCAAATAACACAGGTGACTGTAAACTGGAATCTTGACAATAAAATAACGACTATCTATTACTATACCTACATTGCTAGACGTAGGAATCATACGTCATATCTGTCGGTCAATAATAAAATAGGACGTGACATTATTCAGTAACGATCCAACTTGCCTCAAAAGTGGTAGGAAGTCATGATAGAAGAATGAGACAATAATCTAATTCGGTATGACGATTAAAATGAAGATAGTGTGTGAATAGATCAACGCCAATGGAACTGATTCCGGACCATATCACCTAGTGTCATACGGAAGTCAACAGGGGGGTGGTCTACATTTCCGTCCACAGCCCAGATCAACAGTTGGGGATTTCATGAACTGGTGGCCCATGCTAATCTAGTCACCTCTGACCTTTTTCCAGCCTGAACGTACTTAAAGCTAGAATTGTGCGATGAGGCAGACGGGGACTAGATATACATAACACGTGTCCTATTCACCTGAGTCGATGAAGGCCCAATAAGTCACGTTTCTAGATATCTGACGGGTACATCATGAAAACGTACTACATTGGTAAAATGGAGTTAAATCAATAATCACACTTAAGCTGTGTATGCATTTTTTAGAGAAACAAAATATACTCGGAATTTCAACTAGTTACTCTGATGGCTCGGTACGATAAATGATGTGGATACTGAAGGCTTCGAAATATTTACGACACTAAGGTTTCAGAAAATAAACTAACAGAGTTTATATCGAATTGAAGAAAACTTATCGTGTCATGGGCGAAGGTGGAGAAAAATTGAGTGCTACTAGAGGCGTACAAACAATTGATGCTTTCGCAGCTGCCTAAAATGTAAAAGCGGATTACAGTTGACCTACCTGAAGAAATTATTAGTGTGACCACGGAGCTTAAGGGTCAGTAACTCATGTTACAAACAAAATTTCCAAGACATTAGACTTCTAATTCTAGTGCTGGTTGAGCATACATACTATAAGTAGAAAGCAGAGTACTCCGATATTCTGAACAAATTTCTTAAAATCTCCATCAGACAATTATTGAACATACTTTACTATAAGTCAGATAGTACTGCATTGGAAAATTCGATAGTGAAGAGATCATTGTCACGTTTCTGTGAATTTTTATGAAAAAATATATGCAGCTTGGGAATACAGGAATTATGCATACAACTCATGACATTCTACTCAAGCTTAAAGGTTATAGCAATTCGCTTAATGCTTCATTTACAGAGCTAAAAAAGACAACAAAACATAGAAAGGATACACCAATTTATAGAAGGCAATTTGAGAAACTCAGAAATACCTGGTAAGCGCAATCGGAAATTTCAAACAAGTGTAAATGAGATCCACTGGCTAACTGATCTTGGCAGTTGTTATTGGCAGCAATGCTAAAACTCGAACGCAGTTCTTCTTGTGCTTTAGTCAACTGTTCAGTAGAAACTGGCACTGCAGCCTTCCGAAGGACAACAAAACCTCGTGGTAACTGTGTATCAGGATCCACTTGATTCATGCTACTCCATAATTTTGTCAAAGAAACCCAATGAGGTGGGTACTTGAAACGAGCTGTATCAAATAAGAAGACAAGCTCTCTTTGAGGATGGTAACCGCCGATTGGGGCGAAATGGCCTGTACCTGTCTGACCTAAAGCACTGCGACTATAGCAGACAACAAGATAGCCTTCCGATGACCCAGAAGTCATCTTGACTAATACATCTCGAAAATGAGCAAGTGAACTATCATGAGAAATACGATGTAAGTCCACCTAATTGTAAAGACAAAAATAAACGTTAAAATTCAGTACAATATCACCATTTTAGTGCATAGTTTTACACTGAATGCAATTCTTCGGTCATATGGGAAAATCAATAAGACAACCAATCTAGAATAGTAAATAAACAAAATGAATAAACAAATAAATAATTGTAGTACAATAATATGATACATATTTATGTACTTGGTTATGAATAATACCGAATATGTGATACTACCTGGTTAAGTCAAATTTGGATGAATAAAGTTTGAACCAGTGACCTGCTGGTTAGTAGTCAGAAGCTTATACCAATCAAGTCATATATGGTAAATAACTAATTGAAGCTACTAGTTGGAACCCATACGTACTGCTACAGTTTTTTTCAGTGTCTCTGAACTAATTAGAGAGTGAAAGTAACCACTTATCCATTCATGTAATTTTTAAAGAAACATCAATGAGTTTACAGGTTGGTCGAATACTTATCATATTAGTAAAAGCCATTGTCACTTTAATTATCATCTCATGTGAAAAGGACATCTGTGCAACAGAATAGTTCCAGAAACATACACATTCAAAATCGAACCATCAATCCCAAAAGAGGGTGTGGTGACAAATGACTCCAGATCACAGACATCAGAGATCCTGACTTATTTCCATCTCCACAATAGGATGTTTAAAACAAGAAGCATAATAATATCTTCCCTGATTTATTATTGTACTACTTACCTAAACATTACTGACATACTACATTCCTCCATCACTACGATGTGACCACATTATTTCACGTGGTGCATCTCTTAGTGCTCTTTTCATTATAGGTGTATCTGCAACCAACTCGAACTACAGGTACACATCCTGAGAAAGAGAACACCAACTACCGCCCAGCGATTTATGACTTTGAGCTATCAACTAATCACTCATATTTCGTAAGATTCAATAGGGCTACCTACGCCTTTTCCAATCTTCTATATTTCCCACTTACTTCTATAAATACAGTTTATTCGTTGTGAGCTAGCGAACTGCTGGCATTTTTTGGATGACCTAACAGGAATCATTTCCTGGAATCTAAGTCACAATTAGGGATGAAGATGAATATCAAATCCTAGCCAATAAAAGATAACAACTGGCAACTTATCGCCCGTCAAAGACACAATAAGGATGACAGTTAATGCTAAACAAGTAGGTGTAATCAAATCAAAATGATTAAGAATGAGTTGAATTAAATTGGATTAGCATAACTCACGTCTAGACCATAACAACGAGCAATCCTAACAAACTCATCCAGTGTAATTCCTTTCGTAAGTACATCATGCGGCAAACAACATGTCAACATACTTTCATGGTACCAACGCCAAGGGCTTTTCCATACTCTTCCAGGATCTAGTCCCAGAGCGTTGAGAACCATAACTAAACTGGCTAGTCCACAATAAGAAGGTTCTTCCTATTGATGTAAAAAATATTGAAAACACCACGAGATTAAATGAATATATTACTTTCATGCAGTGATTATCTTACCCTCAGTGAGAACAACAGTCCTTACAATATCAGCTCTAAAAATACTCGACTCTATAATACATTTTAATACAAAGACAACTGTAGGATTTTTTTCATCTCCAGACTTTCATTATCGTGTTTGCGTACGACATTTTTCAAATCACTGTACCATGAAGATTTGAAATCTTTCCATTACAAAAAGTAAATGACTTTTAAACAGCCCATACTAATAGCATAATATAACCTAAGCAGGTTTGATAGATTTAATAAATATGGCATTCAATGAAACTATATCCATTCTTCAGAAAATGCATGCTAAAAAAATGAGCAGTGTTCGCACCTCATTTCATCGCGTTGATCCAGTTCAACCAAATTTGCATTTTGTGATTAAAAACTACAACCATCCATTGTCACTACTGAAAACTGTAGTTAGACATTTCTCAAAGGACAAACAACTACATGTTGAAAAAATTGGGAAATCCAAATACGCCCACTAAAAAACAAAACCCTAACAGGCAAACCTGTTTTTGGTGAGTCGATTTCCAGAATTTATATGCCTACAGTAAAATATAATAAGTCTGCTGATAGCAAGTAGTGTTTACAAGGTTTTTAAAATCATATTTCTTTCTACAGTGGAGCTGTAGTTCACTGGTTTAGACACTCGAATTTCAACCGACAGGTTGTGCGTTCAGACGCCACTCCACCTACTGAGATCTGTGGAGCTAAATAGTATCATGATCCTTTACTGAATAGGTTTGGCTCATCGCCTACTACACGGATATGCATGTGGTTTCTGAGTTCATTTCGATTTCGACTTGCCCAATGCAGTTCAAAAAATAATAGCAGTATCCAAATAGTTGACATGGACAAGTAACCACAATAAAATAAATGTGACGAACTAAAAAAGTACGAGACAATAAGTATCCTTGAGCATTTTCTTAGTAATGTTTGTTAAGTAACACAGATTGAGGTGGACATGAATACATCTAAGGTTGCACTAACATACATTTAATGAACAGCTTAAATAGTCGTACTTTTTCCAAGAAACTAGAATTCGATCTTTATAGTATTGTTTTTTTACTCATACACAGTTTCATTTCAGTTCAAAAAAGACATTAATAGCAAACGATGGACAAAATGAATATTGCATAACCTTTTTTTTGCCATCAATTTAATCTTAGGAATAGGAACGATGTTTTTAAACAGTATCATTAGATTATTTCTTGGCAGATTACTGAATATGGTAAACACAATTACATCAGCATTTATGTGGGTCCCAGAGAGGACTTAAATTCTCATAACTTCCTCCGTTTGACGTTATTTCCATCATTTGAGAGTATTTCATTTTGTTTGTGCATATGCTATTATTCTTATACGATCTCAACCCCGACTAATTGCTTCAGTAAGTTAAGTATATATGTTATTTCTAATGAATGAAATTCCTAACTGCTGGCAAGATAGACGTTATACCTGTACTATAAATAAACATCCAAATAACTAATATACATCTACACACCAATCGTTTGCTACCGTATAATCAATATGTCATATTGTGATTGCGTCACACAACACGGATTTTGACATTAAAGCTATATTTACTTCTTCCCAGATTTCGATTAAAAATCGTAACTGGGATATAACAGTTGAAACGCACCTGGGTACAAAATTGAGAAGCCAGACAAAAATAAGTTTCCATATGTCCAGATAACAAGGCCTCGCGGAAAATACGTTTTCCTTCAGATGAACTAAAAGAAATGCAATGACGAGGTAATGGCCGACGATAGAATTCTTGAACCCGTGGAATAGAAGCGGTCTGAAGCTGAGAAGCATCGTGAACTGCTGGTACAGTTTGGAATGGTTTGTTCAGAAGACAGTTGGATTTCGTTATTAATGACATTGGATTGCGAAATGAATAGCTTTTACGACGTAGTAGTAATAAACAACCGTAAAGTTGTGACAATCTTATGTAAACGTCACACCCGCTTGTCCAAAATATTTTATGTGAAGATGATCTGGGAGGTTTAGTTAGTGGTTGTCTGGTATTCATGCATAATAGTTATGAATGAAAGCATCACCAATCGTAGATAAGTCCTGACGAAACAGACTCTGCAGTACAACTAGAAAAATCAAAAATTCAGCTAATTATTATTCTTTGCCGATTGTTAAAATTAGCTCACTATGCTTTTCAACAATATCAATGAGGACCCAGAAATCTTATTTGTGCCGAAATACAAGATCAGGTGTAAAACAGTGCTATGGACAATTCTGCTTTGTCTGAGAAAACTGGATATTCATTGATTGTACATGATAACCATTATCTCTATAGAATTTTTTTGTTTCAGTGATGGCACCATTTTAATAACTCCGATTTAAGGTAGCTCATGTTTGTACCTCATGAAAACTGCAATTCTGTAAATTATATCATCTCTAAAACCCAGCTTCGTTGGGTTGCTTATGTGCTATGCAAGTCATACTGGTGATTGGCACACTTTCTGGCAATCCTAAGATGGACTGGAAGAGATGGAGAAAACGTTAGTCCTCAACATAGTGCTATGGGAATGGGCAACAGTTATGTTGAATAAATAGCTCTTGACGCATAGCGACCACCCAAGTGGATTCAGTATGATAGTACATAACGGAAGCTGAGTATTATCATAAATATATTAGAATTTCACGTAAAGGTAATCATGTTGTGGCTCCCTTGTGGTTAAATTGTTCAAAAGTAACAAAAACTGTGAACACTTCGTTGACTTCATAGTAGGACACTACTACCATGACCACCCTGTTACCCTTTGACTCTCTTTGATTTTATCTCTACATTATTAAACTATATTAGGGGCTAAATTTGTCGATGTCTATGCAGTTCCAATCTCGACATTTTGGCAAAAGATTCAGGTCTAATTCAAAGCATGACAGATATGGGCTTTCACACTGAGCAATCTCATATACTTTACAACAATAAGTTCCGGTTGTACCATTGATCCTGAAGAACACCATAGTATATATTAACGACTCAGGGCAAGGGTTAGAAGTTTTTGACATTGATACTAAGCCTTAGTCTAACCACACTTAAGTGGACACTAAATAAACGAGAAAATATGTATCGAAATAACCTACATCAATAAGTCCAGTCAGTAAAAGTTCACCACCGAAAGTTATTCATTTGACTTCTGTGTTTCTCCCATTATGCTTCCATGGCACACGGGCAGTGCTACAAGGCTAGGGTGGTTGAATGCCCGAAGCTTTTTTATTTCTTGCCTCTATAATGACTATATTCCCCAGTCGTATAGTAGAATATAATAAACTGTTGATGCATAGACAGATATTGTCTGGTGTGGTGTCCACCAACCTCAACTCAGCGGTGGATATATATCATATTTCTACCAGTTATCACTAGAGAGGGTCGGTGGTAGATTACCACTCCTTTTGGGGCATGTGTCTGAACCGCAATCACCCCCTGGTTCCAGAACGCGTACATATGCGACTAAGTGGACGTGGGAAAACCACAGTAGCAAGATCATTGTGAGCGCAGCTCAACGTTGAGAATACTAATGGTACTATCCGCGAGAAACTGGCTAGACAGGTATCGGAACAAGACACTATCACTCATCCAGAAGAAGCACCGCACCATCTCCAGCTGACTTTCAGAAAGAGGTTAGAAAACGTCAGGGGATTTCACAATCGTCTGAATTAAAAGGTGCTCATGAACGCACATCTGTAAGTTCCGAGCACAATGAGGAGCGGAAACAACTAAAGTGCAGACTGGCAGAGTCTACGAAATGACCACGAGAAGGGGTGGATGGTGAACGCTAGAAATGGAAAAGGCAGATGCGAGAGGCAACAGAAGATGGTTATTTAAACTGATCAAGGAAATTGAACGAAGTGCTGAGTGAAATTACAGCGCAGAAGGATATTCCTGCGATTCACTCTAAAAGGAGACGACTGGAAAGATGGGCGAAACATTTCGAGGAACAGTCCAACTGGTCACTACCTACTATTCTACTATCCATTATCTAGTAGGATCCTGAAGGGAACGCAGAAATAGGCTTTCCAATTCTTACAGACGTCGAGAAGGCTCCAAGTAAGCGGAAACCAAGAAGGACAGCAGAGCTAGATAGGCTAAAACCAAAGATATTTAAGAACGATGGTGGAGGATTACTGGCTAGGTTAACTGAATTGTTAGCTAGCGTGTAGGAATCAGACATAATACCCTTTGACTAGTCCCAATCACTGATTTTCCCAGTCTTCAAGAAAGGAGAGAAATCCTCTTGTGATAACCATAGGAGAATCAGCCTAAAATAGTGTTGACGATACTAGGCTCCGTAACTATCAGACGTCTAGGGTGCAGCTCATGAACGGTGAACCTAGGAAAACCGGGTAGGTTTTAGACCAGGCCATGGATGTATCGGCCAAATATTCATATATATATATATATATATATATATATATATATATATATATATATATATATATATATATATATATATATATATATATATATATTCAAGTGCATAAAACATGCTACACATGCCTAGTTACCATCTGCCCCGTTTCAATATGTTAGTTTGAGTAGATTAAGTCTGAAAAACGTTACAGATTAAAATGTAGCATCAGCTCATGAAATCTCTGATAGTTGGTCTGAGTCCAATAGAGAAATAAAGACATGTTGTGGTCCGCATGACAGCTGGAACCTGTGGTTGAAGACTCCAGATAATACGGCTAAGAATCGATCTCGATGGCGCAGATGTACCCACACATTATCATCTTAACCACCATTTTGAATCTCAGTATTCTTTCATTTTTCCTTGCTCTTTTTTGATGAACTTCGACAAGTTTTGATTGCTTTCTTGTTCCTCTAACCTTTATCTTGATGCATTTTAACTCGATATGCCGATGAGTGGTAGCTTGGACCACCACGCATTATTGGTAAGTCCCCAGCTGATATTTTCTGTCTATTTGGCGCTATTACTTGCGATAAGACTAACCTAGAGGTCAAGGAGAGCCAAATCAAGACATATTATCAACTCAGTGTAACTATTTATATGACTCATCAAGAAGAATCTGGGCTTCTATGTTGTTGTTTTCGAGACAACTGAAACTGATAGATGGAAACGTAGGCGATGTATCACACGTTTTGAAGCAGTCACATTGACGCGTTAATGTTACCGTTTCAAATATGTGCTGAAAATCTGATTATATATCAATATACATTTTTATTATTGTTTTAACTGTTCTAAAAGGGTTTGAGATCGCTGATGAAAAAGATTTCCGCTTCACTCTCATCCCTCTGAACTTGAGTCTTGTATTACTGATGTGAAGTGTAGCAACTTGTGTCAATAGGCAATTATTCGATACATTCTGTGTATTGTCCTAATAGATGTGTGCAACGATAGATTCCAAGTCATCTTTCTTCAAAGGGCTATTTGTCATCCGAAAACTCCAAATGTTTTAATGCGACATATGTCATCTGTAACCGTGTTTCCCACGACCACCCATCTTTTCTCGACAGCCCAGGGTGAATAAACTTAGATGTTTCAAACTTTTGAAGTATGCCTCCCCCCTTAATCCCACAGCTCATTTTGTTGCAGAGCTTTCCCAGTCAATATTTTCGACAGCGAACGCAGGTCAAAATGGGAAAAACGTTGGGCGTTTCGTTGGGGTCGGGGCAGAATGCGAGGGGGGAAAAAAATCGGAGGAACGTTGAAAAATTGCACGTATGCCTCAAGATTTCTTTGCGATTTTCAACATGCCCGTTTGTTTTGCCCGGCGAAAATGTTGAGTGGGTATGTATTTTCTCAAACAGACTGGGGTCTCAAGAGATTTCTTGAGCGTTAAAAGTACTACCGTATTCAAGACTCCCACGTAGGGACGTGAGTAGAATTTTAAACTGTGAGAATACATAAAGTCAAAGAAGATGAATGGTAAATGGTACGAAAACATGTTTACGACCTGTACTAGACAATCAAGTAGCTGTGTTTCAATTGAAACACACGGTGCAATTTGAGTCACTCTGAATATGTAAATTATGCCTGACTAAAAACTTGAACCCTGAAGAAACCTGTGTGGAAGAACACTGGAAGTCTTTGAAAGAGATGTGGAAAGAAACCTGCACAACCGTATTAGGAAGGAAGAAGAAAGAAGACAAGGAATGGATCTCGACGGATACCTGGAGGCTGATAGAGGAGAGGAGGGTGGTGAAGCAGAAGATAAACCAGTCCATGGATGCTCAACGACAAGAGGAACTGAGTGCAATGTACAAAACACCACACTGGACAAAGAAGCGAAGAAGAGTGCACGGAAAGACAAAAGACACTTCTACGAAACACTGGCAAGTGAAGCAGAACAGGCTGCAGGTAAGAGAGATCTGACAACATTGTAGCAAATAACCAGGTTGCTATCTGAAAGGAGATCAACGCAGACAAAACCAATAAAAGATGATGACGGAAATTTGATTACCAAAGAAGAGAAACAAAGGAAACGATGGGCGGACCACTTCAAGAAGCTCTTGAATCCACCACCACCACCTGCACTTCGTCCAGAAATACCACCTGCAGCCGCTGAATTACAAGTGAACATAAATCCTCCAACGAAAATGGAAGTCCTGAACGCCATAAAGCTACCGAAATGTGGGAAAGCAGCAGGACCAGATGGAATCCCGTCAGAAGCACTGAGAACAGACGCAGAGACAGCAGCGGACATGGTTACACCACTATTGCAGAAGGTGTGGAAGGAAGAGAAGGTACCTGCCGGTTGATTGGAAGAAGGGTTACCTTGTCAAACTGCCGAAGAAGGGAGACCTCAGTGTTTGCAAGAACTGGTGCAGAATTGTGCTCCTTTCACTATCCACCGCAAGCAAAATATTAAGCCGCATCATCCTGGAGAGGCTAAAGGATGCACTGGATTCAAAACTACGACCGGAACACGTAGGCTTCAGGAAGTACAAATCATGTGCAGACCAAATTGCAACGCTACACTTCGCATCATCATAGAACAGAGTATAGAATGGCAGTCAACTCTCTACCTCAACTTTATCGACTTTGAGTAGGC